GGAAGTTTTAATTGAAACAGATGAAAAAGGAAAGTTGGAAGTTTTAATAGGAACGGAGGGAGTATACTACGAAATGGTCTTTGTGTTATCTGTCTTTTACTTTGTAAACAAAATAGTCTTATTGAATACAATATTTAATTCAAAGATATGTTGAAACAATCATGTCATCAATAAGTAACACACAACTATTCTATTACAAGTTTACAACTGCTCCCTCCTCCGTCTCTAAAAATACTTCCAACTTTCCTTTTTGGGTGTCCCAAAAAAAACTTCCACTTTCCTTTTTTGGTGAAAAATTTGTGGTTCTCAACAATTCTTATATATTTTTCTCTCCTCTGTACAACTCTCCATCACACAATTCTCACTTTCTTAATCCGTGTGTCATTTGTACTACGGAAGAACATTTAGGGACGGAGGGAGTATTATTTTAATTAAATATGAATAAAAATAATGTAAAATTTTGAAATAAGAGAAGTATATTTCCGCTAAATAGAAATAAATACGTACAATTATATTTGTTAAGCAATACGAATTATGACATTAATATTTTTCATGTTCTTTTTACTATTCCAATTAACTACAAGCATTTTACCCCTACTTTAAATTTCACATTGTTTTTATTCATTTCTCAGAAAATAATGAGTTCTTCGAAAAAGATAAAATTGGATTGAGAGACTTCTGATTAGAAGTAATAGTACATCAATCAGAAAATATTAGTCAAAGTTTGGATTAAATTAAGAAACCATTATTCGAATAGAACAGCCCTAGTCTGTTCGCTATTGCCGAACAAAAAGCAAATTGACGTTTCGTCAAGATTTCATGAGAAAGTAGTGGTTAGTTAGCACATAATGCGTTTCTAAATTTTTAATGAAATTTTATCAATAAGAAATTTAAAAATTTAAAATATATCGATATATATCTTAAATAATTGAAATTATCAATTTATAAGACTTAAAATTCCTAGATCACAATGATATTTTTCTATCATACGGGATATATATACCGACACGCTTATCTTTCATGTTCTGGATTGATATAATTTCAAAATCAAATTTCTTATACTGAGTACCTTTATTTTTTCAATGCAATTCTAGCTAGTTCTATATTTTATTCAAAGAAGAAGACTTAATTATTATTAATCTAACAATATCGCTTAACTAAACAAAAATGCTTTGAATAAAAATAACAAAATAATTCAAGCGTCCCGTTTTTACCAGCCAACCGAAAGGGAGAAGAGTTTGTTCATTCACCTCCAAAGGAAGCAGCCCGATTTTAGAAGTAATTACTACCATTTTTGGGCAGTACCAGACTCTTAACAATATAGTATTTTTAAATTTGACAGTAATTACTCCTATTTAAGAAATAAAAGCATGACAATTATATTTTGGAAAACGATTTCACTCCTATTTCAAAACATTTCAATATTGCTTTTCTTTTCGTTTATCCAAATGCAATCTTTTTTCAGGAGAAATTAATGTGAGAAATTGAATATCCATATCCAGGATTAGCTAACTTGGTGCGTCAAGATCCGAATTCATTGCCGGAAACCCATCTTTACGAATGGGCAGTTTAAACTTGAAGTTACCATAATGAAAATCATATTATCTTCTTAATAAAGTTATAATTATCCGCCTTAATTAATTGCTTTCTTTTTTACTTTTTCTTTCCAAGTGATGGACTGTAAACGAGCAAATATTCCGTAAAAAGTAAATAATCCCTTGACCGCAGTCGTATTCGGGATGCTGGCACTGCCATGCTGGCACTGTACTTATGCGTGGGACCCACACGTGAATGCCTAAGCGCCAACAACTGTAGGCCATCTTTAACGACGCGGTGACGTGCTTTTGGTACCAACGGAACGTGGAGTATGTGAGACTTGCACGTTACTTCGAGTAAAAGAAAAGGGAAATGGTGAAAATTGCTATAACGCTCAAATTGGTAAAATCTGTAGAAAAATGTGGGGTCTACACAAAATGTGTACAATCTTTTGTGTACACTCGTCTATCACTGACAAATAAGTTGTCTGTTCATATACAACTCTACAAAATTGTCTGTGGATAGATAATTTATTTGTCGGGGACAGATGAATCTACACAAAAGGTGAACATATTTCGTGTACACCAAGCAAAATCCAAGTCTGTAACATGTTTTATTGTTGGAAACTTGGAAAGAGAAAGATGACATGATTTTTTTTTTAAAAAAATATTTAATCATTAAACTAGAGATAGGAGGTGTGAGAAGAAGCACTAAGTTTATGAAAGGTTACTCCTCAAACATGGTTAGGGTGAGAACATTACTCTCGTTTGTGATTAAAGTTCAATTTTCCCAGTTAACTAGCTTCCGGGCAGTAGTAATGGGCAACGGGATGGGTGTCCTTTTTAATCTTATTGACTTATCTTCCTTATACGTGTATGGGTGTGTGGGTGTGAGATGGCAAAAGTTTGTTCAATGAACTATTTTTAGTAATTTAAACCATAGCGAGTGGTGCTATCTTTTAAATAGTTACTCCCTCCTTATCCATTTGTCGCATTTTTTTATTAAGACGTACTCCCTCCGTCCCACAATGAACTTAACAGTTTGATCTACACATATATTAAGGAAATAAATTTACCATTGGGTAAATTTTACTTTTTTGTCACCGTTTCGACACTGTTTGGTATTGTTTCGCACTGTTTCGACACTGTTTGGCACTGATTGACACTGTTTTGATGTAGATTAACTTGCCATTTAAGAAAATGAGAACTTGTTTCCGGGACATTCAAAAAAGGAAAGTGAAAAGTTCATTGCGGGACAGAGGAAGTATCAAATTAATTGTCTTATTTTTTTGTGGAAAAGAATTCACCCTAAAAGGAGCTATGACACAACTACAATATCAATAGAATCTTACTTTTTATAAAGTGTACACTGTAAGGTAATAATTTTAAATTAAGTAATTAATTTTTGACTCATACGAGAGTAATTAAGTAAAATTGTGTGATTCAAATTTTTAGGTAAAGAGAAACAATTAATACAGAGTAAAAATCACAAACTAAACTAATTGATTGCAAAAAAATGTATTACGCCCTCCGTCTCTAAAAATACTTCCAACTTTTCTTTTTCGGCGTCCCAAAATAAACTTCCATTTTCCTTTTTTGGCAAAAAGTTTGTGATTCACAACAATCCTTACACATTTCTTTCTCCTTTTCACAACTCTCCACCACACAATACCCATTATCTTAATCCTCCTAATATTTGTACTATAAAAGTAAATTTAGGGACAAGTAATCCAAATTTGAAATAACAAAAGATGAAAAAATGACAAAGTTATAAGAAAATGGACCGTCACTTCATTTCAGTACGGGCCACATTTAATGGCGGATGAGTGGAAAGTTGGAAACATGGAACGTGACATACTAATGTATGTGTTTCAATTTTATCCATCCGTACGCTCTATCCTTTTCCGGACGAAATCAAGGCTTTCTGTGTGAAGCTTCAAATTAATCAGTCTATGGATGCGTTTGTATATCAGCGGATCCGCCAAAATTCAGAGGGTTTGACTGTGTTGGCGTTTTGGATGGGTCAAATCGCTGGAATTTCGCGTTTGGTAAACAGAGGGTAAGGATAGCGATTCCTATGAAACCGCCGAAAACCAAAACGCCAGAAATCGGAGCGTTTAGGTTTTGGCGGTTTGGAATAATTACTAAATTCACTAGTTTGCCCTCCCATCTTTTTGGTTTCGCCGCTTGAAGCATATGTTCGGACTGCGCTTTGTTCACAGAGTTATTTCTTCCACTGATTCCTTCTTACTGATACGTCCGGACTTCATTTGTCCTCCCATCGTTCAGTGCTTGCTCCTCTTCAAAGGTATGTATTAATCATCTTCTATAGAACACTCCGTTGGGATCTTGTTTTGATTTCTATGGGTATTGCTATTTGTAAATTCATAGATATGTAACTCTTGGTAGTCTGCCACGTTTGTGTTGCCCTGCATTTTTGTAGGATTGTGATCATCATATAAATTGCTTTGTGTTTATAGTCTCATATATGGAAAATTTTTAAAATGTCCTTTTTTGTCTTTTTACATATTATCTGCTACAACCAAACAGCTAAGTTACCAAACATCTCTCTGCAACCCGCCAAGCAAATCCGCTGGTCAAATCCGCTGATTCAATCCGCCATTCACTACCCGCTAACCAAATCCGCTAACCGCTAACCGCTGAGTGCCAAACAGGGCCTATGTATAAAATAGCGTGTTCATTTTTTTCGACAGAACAAATGAGAGAGATTTTCAAAATAGGAGTAAATGAAGTATGAAATTTCGAAATTGGATTATCATATTTTTATTCTCGAAATATGACTAACATGATAGTATTTACTGTCATCTTGTAGGCATCACTGTCAAATAATTGCAGTACAATGCATTTAAAATAATAGTATTTATTATAATTATTGACAGTATTTTTCAATCATGACACTATTTTTCATACATGACAGTAAAAACTCTTATTTCCGGAAGAAAAACACAGTAGTCTTATTTTGGAATTATAAACCTCATTTACTCCTATTTAGGACAATTTCTCAACAAATAATCTGTTCTAATGGTTGAAGTTACAATTACATGTGAATTATGTGAATCATTTAAATTCTAAAAGATTGTCATAATTGGGTATATCAATTATGGTTAAAGGACTTAACGGCATCCTATTATTTCATTATTTGTCTTAAATAGGATTAAACGAGTTTGTGTATTTCAAAATAAAACTAACATCTTTTTATTCCTTACAAAATAATTATTGTCATGTTTTGACAGAACAACACTTTAAACATGAAAGCATTTTTCAAAATTGATAGTAATTAGTTTTTGTTAGGGAATAAATACACGATAATCTTATTTCTGAGTAATATAATCCTACGTCTGATTTGATTTGATATGATTTATCTATTTAAATTTAGTCTATTAATTAATGAAATCAATCCAATTGTGACTTTCCATTTGATTGGGAAACAACAAGTTTAAGTGCGGATTACTGAGATGCGAATAACTTCTGTGCGTTCCTCTATTTCCCCACAATTAAGTCACATATTTTACTCCATTCTTCCACAAATTTCTACCTACTTTTATTTTTGTCTGTCCTGGTAAAAGCATTTATTTAATGTTAATTTCATTTAAAGAAAAATAATATGTGATTTAATGTTTTCTTAAACATCTAACTATATAAATATCCCCGATAAAAACGAAGTTTCCTAAAAGTACTAAAAGACAAGTTTAAATCCAACTTTTTTCAAACCCTCACCATTTCGATGAAATTAATCTTTACACCCTTTTCTTTAAACAATTGGTTTGTGCACCTCAATACCTCATCAATTCAAAAACTGGTGAAGAAATATGGTGTAATATAATTAAAAGGAACACACGTTTGCAAGAGTTAAGTTGTAATTATATGATACACCCGGTTGTACACATACATCCGGTATATTTGTAATTTTATGCAACTTCAAGTCTTTTGATTCTGTTATCCCTGATTTATGTTCATTGCTTTTCTTCCTTCTGCCGTCATTCTCACTCCCCATTCCTTTTATTTCTTTTTCAGCCGCCCCGTTCCCATTCTTTCTTTTCCAGCCGCCATTCCCTTTGGTCTTTAGTGCTAGTTGTTTTACATTTAATGTTTTATACTATCTATTTTTTATTTTATTTTATTTGTGTTTTATTTCGTTACTCTTGGGTCAGTTAGTTTACTTTCTTTTCTTTTGTCTTTTTTTTATTCTTTTTCGTTTCTTTCTTTTCTTGTTTCCTTCTTTCTTCTTCTTTATATATTAATACCGAGCACATTAGAAATGAGCTTTACTTTGAACTCAAATAAGTAAAGCGTCTAAAAGTGGTCTCGATTTTACGTTTGGAATGGGACCTCCAAATTCACTTGGCGGCTCTCGACTTCTTTATTATGAAACAACAATCAATTCATGCAAAATTTTGACGTGATTATCATCATGGATCATCCGGAAACAAACTTTTCTTACTTTAGTATAAGAGTATAATGTTGTGTACATTCGATTCTCGTTTACTCTCGTGGGAGTCTTTTGGACACCGGAGTAATTAATGTTGTTGGTGTATATCTGAAGTTTCATATTTGATCGATATACAATGAAACAAACCTAAAGATGAAATAATTAATTGCTTTTCTATTTTCCAAAAATGAAAAGTGAAAATTAGTAAATTGCCCGGATTCTTTTTTATTTTTTGAATTTATTTATTTGAGAGATGAGTGGCCTAGCTAGCTACTGGTTTAGGGTCGTATCGAAGTCAAACCGAAAATATGATATGAGATGTGCCCCCATACGTATATGAGTATTGCCATGTGCTTTTGCTCTAAGTTTCAAGCCATGATCTCATTTATTTTTGTTTTATATACAAGTATTTTTCTGTATATGATTTCCCAGTCTTGCCTTCTTTCCAATAATAGTGCACATTCTCACACGTCCATAGGTGCCTAAATTAAATTAATAAAGCAAATCTTAACTTCTCCCAATCACTACAAATTTTGCCAAAAGGAGCGTTTTTTACTCAGTTTTTAGTCAACTACCCGTTAGTGAACCTGTGATCCTGTGACCACTGAATGCCAAATAAGTTGAGTGATAAAAAAAATTGCATTTTTAGATGAAATAGCTATGTATAGCTATGTATCCGCACGGGTAGCTCAGTTGGTCGAGTGGTGGGAAAATTAGACCAAGTGACTAAGGTTCGAAACCCGCAGCGGCCGTGTGGAGGTTACAGAACCTGAAATAAGGCTGGACCTCTGGTGCGCACGTGTATAAGGCCTACCGCCGCTTTGCTGACTGAGTCACCGTGATTATCCTCCCCACCATCCTGTCGAGTCGGGATGGGGGGCCTTGGGGTTGGGCATTCAACCTTTTTGGACCAAACTATGTAGCTATGCACATGGTCGGAGGCGGAACCATGTGGGGGTTAGGGTGGTCAATCGACCATCAGATTGTCCGAGAATATAGGCCACTAAAATACCTTTGATTTGAATGTTATAACTCGCATAAGTTCATAACTATAACGAGTAAAAAGTTATGATTCCTGACAAATCAGGACTATATAAACTTGAAAGCATGGGTGGATCTATGTAGGGGTTGGGGTAGGTTCTAGCCCAGTCCAGTCCAATTTTTTATTAGTATAGGTATAGGTTTAATGTCTAATCCATTCCAAAATTAATGTCCAGCCCATTCCAAAATTAATGTCCAGTCTAGCCCAAGCATAGTAGGCTACTAAGATACTCGTAAGTTTTAGAATTAGGGAGTGTTTCAGATTGAGTCTACTTTGAAAAAGTGATTTTTTAAAGTAATTTTGGAGATGTTTAATAGTAAAAGTGCCTAGTGGGAGGTTTCGAGTTCGAAACCCGCTAGGCACAAAAAAGGTTTGAAACTCAATGGAGTGAATTTCAGTCCTGATTACTCCAGCCCCCAGTCCACCTTTCCCAGACCTCCTGGAGAAAAAAATTAAAAATCCAATTCAATTTTGAAATTGGGAGATACTTATTAGTTTATTTACAACGATTGTTTTTACTTATTCGTTTTATACTTTTATATGAAGTGTATTACTACGTAATTTATACCAATAAATACCAGAAACTTGAATAGTAATTAATAAATTTATTAAACCACACTAAAAAAGTTTGAAATTTAAAAGTGGCCACTTTTTGAATAATTGGTTCAAAATTAGTACTACCTCCGTCCCTCTTATATTGGGTCGGAAGAGAGTGGCACGATTATTAAGAAAAGTGGGGTTGTGGGGTTGATATTAATCGATAAAGTAAGAATAAAGTAAAAATGATTTAGAACCACAGAAACTTTACCAAATATGTATGAGACAATTTTAGTGAGACTTCCCGGAAAGGTAAAACGGGACAATATAAGAGGGCCGGAAAGTACAAACCCCTTTTTCATTTCTTTAATTTCACGTTTCGTGAAGTAATCCTTCACCGAAATATTTTGCTTTCTCCTGCTCTTACATTACCTTCCTAAAATTATACACATTTTGCAAGCAAATTTAATATTCCGCCAACCAAATCACCGAATGCTTCCATGTGACATGCCGGTCTAAAAGCACTTTTATGGTGTTCGAATTGCATATTACATTTTTCCGTACAAGACTTATAAAACGGCATTAATGATCATTACATGCTCCCGTATGTCAATTGTCTCCGTCATTAGGTTCCCTTTTAGCTTAATTATTCATTAATTTAACTTTGAAGTGAAGGCAATGGATTGCAAACCTCTATCTATTACGACTTAATTAATTATGTTTCCTTAATGTACTGAGCCTGACCTGTTTGTATAGGGTTTGTATAGCTTACTTAGATCATGACTCTTGTACTATATATATTCCTTAATCATTAATAATACAATCAACTTCTCATCTCAATGTGGTATCTAGAGCCACACTTTAAACAACCAAAACAATAATTTTTTTTTTCTTCGGCCATCAGCCATGTTCGTTCCCAAGAGCCGCAGCCTAGGGTTCAGCGCCGCCGCCGTCGACAGTTCCTATCACACAGCCATGGTTCTCACGTCGGATTCCACCGTGATCACTATCACGACCTCTACGCACTTTCCAATTAAACTCACTTCCTCCAATTACCCAGTTTGGAAAACCCAGGTTTATGCCGCTCTCATTGGACTTGACCTGGAAGATTATGTGGATGGTACCCTTACCACCCCCCACCCTCATCTTGATATTGACAAATCTACTCCGAATCCGCTCTATCAAACCTGGTACCGTCAGGATAAAAGTATTCTCAGTGCTCTGTTGGGCAGTTGCTCAGACACTATTCAGCCTCTTCTTTCTTCGGCTAGTACGGCCAAGGAGGCGTGGGATCGCCTCTCTCAAACGTATGCTGGCCTATCGCGTGGACGTATCATGTCGCTCAAGTCTACCTTTGCTAAAACAGTTAAAGGTACAAAATCTATCACGGAATATCTTGCGGAGATGCAAGGACTTGCTGAAGCATTGGCCCTGTCTCAAAACCATGTGCCCGAAGAGGATATTGTCATTGGCATCCTCAATGGCCTCCCCCCTGTTTATTCCGAAATTATTGCTGCTGTTCGGGTCCGTGATACAGCGATGCCGTTAACAGCTCTTCAGGATATTTTGCTGGAGCATGAAGCCAAGCAGATCGCCATTCATTCGCAACCCTCGCAGCCAATTATACCGCTGGACAACGCGGTTTTCGTGAACAATCTGCCCAGCGAGATGGTGACAACAACAGCGACCGTCGCGGTGGATTCTCTGGCCACCGTGGTCGTGGCCGCGGTTCGTACGGTTCTGGGGGTGGTCGCGGAACCTCCAGGCAGCTTCAGTGCCATTTTTGTGAAAATATTGGACATGAGGTCAAGCACTGCCGCAAGCTTCAGCGGTTCCTTCGGAACCATAATGTTCTTCCGCAGCCGGGTCCACATGCCAATTATGTGTCTGCTCCTTCTCCCATGCAAAATCAGCCCTGGCTTTTTGATAGCGGAGCATCTCATCATGTTACGTCCGATGTGTCTCATTTACCCACTTACGCTAAGTACGGGGGTCCTGAAGAGGTTAAGTTAGGGGATGGTAAGTCACTTAATATTACTCATAAAGGTACCACTGTTTTATCTACCCCTACCCGTCATCTCTCCCTGTCAAATGTTTTATGCGTACCTAAATTAAAGAAGAATCTTATTTCTGTGGCCAAGCTCTGCAAAACTAATCATGTCTCTGTTGAATTTTCCCCTGATTTTTTTATTGTGAAGGATCGCATCACGGGGGCGCCACTGCTGTGCGGGGTGAATCAGCATGATGTTTACTATGCCCCAGTGTTCACACCTGCTACTGTCAATGTCACTCAATCTACCTGCCACCATACTTTGGGTCACCCTTCGCGTCGTGTCATGCAGTTTTTATCTTCTGGTTCAAACATAAAGTTTTCTCCCATTCCTCATTGTATGTCTTGTTCAATCAATAAAAGTCATAAACTCCCTTTCTTTAATAATACGATGTCTGATTCCCAACCATTGGAATTAATTTATTCTGATGTATGGAGTTCTAGTGTTTCCTCAATTGATGGTTATTGCTATTATGTCATCTTTGTTGATTATTTTACTCGTTATATCTGGCTCTACCCTTTAAAAAGAAAATCTGATGTTGCCATAATTTTTCCTCAGTTTCATCGCCTTGTTGAAAAATATTTTAATTCTCGAATAATTAAATTTTTTCTGACAACGGCGGTGAATTTATTAAATTGTGCCCCTATCTCAATGCTCATGGTATTTCTCACTTCACCACACCACCTCATACCCCTGAGCATAATGGCTTAGCTGAGCGTAGGCATCGTCATATTGTTGAAACTGGCTTGGCCTTACTACACTATGCTGGCATGCCTCCTCAGTATTGGTCTTATGCTTTTCTTACTGCTGTTTATCTCATCAATAGACTACCTACCCCTACTCTTCATGGTGCCTCCCCCTACTCCAAATTACATAACCTCACTCCTAATTACTCCAAACTTCAACCGTTTGGATGTTTGTGTTATCCCTGGCTTCGGCCGTACAACTCCACCAAACTCCAACCCCGATCCATTCCGTGTGTCTTTCTTGGTTATTCTCTTACCCAATCTGCCTTTTACTGTCTTGATCATCACTCCGTTCGTGTCTACGTCTCGCGTCATGTTGTATTTGTTCCTCACACTTTTCCTTTTCTATCTTCTAATCAGTCCTCTTCCGTGCCTAGCAAATCTCTCTCGCGGTCCTTCTCAAGCTCGGTGGCTCCCCGTGTTTTCTTCCCTAACGCCCAGGCCCCACCCAACTGGAACGCATCAGCCAACATTTCTCCTGCTGCCTGTCCGCAAACTATGCCCGACACCAACATCCAACCCACTCCACCTCCAGGTCCCTTGGTCCCTGTGCCTCCATCCCTCCCTTCTTACCCTTCGTCACAGCCTACTACCGAGCCGAACATTTCATCTCGCCCTGCCCGACACCGCAAACCTAACCCTAGATATTATAGTGGTGCTTTTGTGAATAATACTAACGTGCATCCCATTTCCCCTACACTTGAACCATCTTCTTTAAAAGTGGCTTTACAGGATTCCAGGTGGAAGAAAGCAATGGATGAAGAATATCAAGCCTTATTACGCAATCATACGTGGGACCTTGTTCCTCCTGCTCATCACTCTCCTATTACTTGTCGATGGATTTTTCGTGTCAAGCGCCACTCCGATGGCAGTATTGCTCGGTTCAAGGCACGTTTGGTGGCTCGTGGCTTTCTCCAGCAGCCCGGACGTGATTATTCTGAGACTTTTAGTCCTGTTTTTAAGCCATCCACCTTACGCATCGTCCTTACTATTGCTTTGTCTCGCGCATGGCCAATCCGACAGCTAGATGTTAATAATGCTTTCTTGCATGGCACCTTGGAGGAGGAGGTATATATGGTTCAGCCACCTGGATTTGAAGACCCAGCTCATCCTACGCATTTGTGCCGCCTTAAGAAGGCCTTATATGGTCTTAAGCAAGCGCCACGGGCTTGGTATCTGGCACTTTCCAGATTTTTACTTAGCATGGGTTTTCGGCGGTCCCAGACGGATCATTCCCTATTTGTTTATAATCATGCGGGTGTACTTATTTATTTCCTAGTCTATGTGGATGATATTGTGTTAACAGGTAGCTCAGACACTGTTCTTGCTCGGTTCATATCTCAACTCACCAAGGAATTTTCTGTCAAAGATTTGGGACCGCTTCATCACTTCCTTGGGATTGAGGTTGTACCTCACCCCACTGGCCTGCTTTTATCTCAACGGCAGTATATTCTTACAATTCTCAAGAATCACGGTATGCTGGGAATTAAACCGGCTGTCACACCTATGAGGGCTGGTAACCCTGGGTCGAGCACTTCGGCAGCTGCATTTTCTGATATCACAGGCTATCGGCGAGCACTGGGCATGTTGCAGTACCTATCTTTCACTCGGCCTGACATTTCTTTTGCAGTTAATCGGCTTTCTCAATACATGCATTGCCCTTCGGTTGATCATTGGACATCTGTCAAACGCATTTTTCGCTACCTTAAAGGTACCTTGGATTTTGGATTGTATTTACATAAATCTCAGGGTCTTCAGCTTACTGCATTTTCTGATTCTGATTGGGGTGGTACAACTGATGATGGGAGATCTACCACTGCTTATGTTCTCTATCTTGGTCCTAATATTATTTCTTGGAAGTCTACCAAGCAAAAGAGTGTTTCTCGCTCCTCGACTGAGGCCGAATACCGTGCGGTCGCAAATGCCGGTGCCGAGATCCTATGGGTCAAAAACGTGTTGCATGAGTTGGGTATCACCTTATCTTCTGTTCCTATGCTTTACTGTGACAATCAAGGCGCCACCTATGTTTGTGTTAATCCAGTATTTCACTCGCGAATGAAGCATCTTGCCTTGGATTTTTTCTTTGTTCGAGAACTCATTAAGCGTGGTCAACTACATGTTTCACATATCTCCACCAAATTACAGATTGCAGATGCTCTTACCAAACCCTTGGGACAGTCTTTATTTGAGCATTTTCGGTCCAAGCTTGGAGTTTCCGACGGAACCTCCATCTTGCGGGGGCGTATTACGACTTAATTAATTATGTTTCCTTAATGTACTAGGCATGGCCTGTTTGTATAGGGTTTGTATAGCTTACTTAGATCATGACTCTTGTACTATATATATTCCTTAATCATTAATAATACAATCAACTTCTCATCTCAATACTATCTACCTCGTCATTCTTAACTTGTAGATAAAATTCAATTTATGGTAAACACTAAATTAACTAATTCACCAGTTTCAAATTTATATACTACATACAATTTATACTTTTTAAGATTGTCTAATGATAAAAGTAAATCTTTTCATCTTAAATTTAACTAATTATGGATGGATTATAATTAATTATTGAAGTTTATATTGAAGAATTAAATTAAATTAGAATATGAAGAAAATCCAAATCAAGAAACAAAAACATTGTGTCTTGATATATGCTAGTACAATGATATCATATATTCACCATGCGCTGCTGCTTGGAGAGAAGAGAAAATGGAGTGACACATACTCTATCCGTAACAAAAAGATCTTATCACTTTCATTTTTTACCGTAATTAAATACTCTTTTTATTTGTAAATCTCTCTCATCATAGCTTCAACAATTTTGAAAAAAATATACTATTCATCTATTTTTTGGATTTATCCTTCATATCATCACACTATTTCATTATCTTCTGATCATAACTCAATATTTTATATCTCCTTTCACTCTTCATAATCTCACACACTTTCAAAGTGGTAAGATCTTTATGTAAAAAATATATAATTTCAATTGTTAGAGGTTTTCAGACTCAATTTTTGTAAACAGATCCAAGTGTTAAACATCCCAAAAAAAGATTCAGATGTTAAAAATAAGATCTAATTATCACATTTTTTTAATTTCAGTTATTTTTCAAAAATAGGTCTGAAGTAACAACAATAAAATTAAACTCCAAATTTTTTACTTTACAATCGAAATATTTGCCTTTTGATTGAAAAGCTTTGTTTTGTTGGGGATATATTAACGGTGTTGAATTGTAGGAAAAACTGAATTGACTGAGTTAATGTGTATAAACTATTGGGGAATTTAATATATTGACTAGGGGATTTGCGGTGCATTTGTTTCAGCTACTCGAGATAGGGATATACAAAAGAGAGATTTTCGTCGTTTGTGGATCACTCGACTGGTTTTTTACTATTCTACTATATGGAATTCAAAATAGGTTTTATATGAAATGAAGTTTATTGGACGTTTCACAATTTGAAAACTAAACTTTTTGTATATCCTATATTTTCAGCACAAATTGGCCAGCCCTTTTAAACCACTTAAAGCATGATCATGAACAAGGACATAAATATACTCCTGAAATCCGCCTTTTATAAACTCGCCTCCAATTTGAAGAAGCATTTGAAAACGTGATTTAAAAAAATTGTTATTCCGATGTAAAAAAATCCTATAAATTTTGAGCCCAAACGTTGTAAAAAATCGTGTACAAGAAACAGATTAGGAACACCTTTTGCTGCTCAAACCGCAGTAATAACTGCTCTTCATAAAGTAGTGAATCGAGGTATGGAAAACATCTTATCCCGATCATGAATATTATTTCATTTTTAGATTTAAAATAAAAGTGTAGCTTTTGTTTAAATTCAACTATTTGAATTATACATTATACTCTATACTAAAATATTAAAGTTATCAAATCTATAAAAAATGTTAGAGCTTACTTATAAATACTCTAAACTAAAATATTAGCTCTCGAAGGATTTGAGGTTGCTCATATTTTACAGGAGATGTTTACTTTTAAATCGGATCATATTAGAGCTCGTCATCAAGTACTTGGTACTACGATCTTTGGAGGTACAATACCTCATTCAAAAAATGCTCCAGAATCTTTTAGATTGCTCGTTCGAGAACTATGATCTTTAGCTCTGGAAGTGAATTATATCCTGGTATCTGAAAAGAAGTTCCAAATTCATAGGAAGGAAGTCCAAAAATTCCCGGGCCCGAGCCAAATAATTCTAAAAATAGTTTTACAAAAAGTTCTTGGCGGACCAAAAAATGAATGAGCTTCAACTTCGTTAATTTGAATCAGGAATATAATAGCAATAACATTCATAAGAATGGACTACATAAGAAGTCATATTTAACTTTAGTAAAAATTGGATCTCAAGCGTTATGTATATTGGCCGTTACCGAGGTTGTGAGCGTTTATCTATATTCATTCATTCAACCAAAAACTCATGCACTTTACATTTATTCCTATATTTGAAATCTTGAACTTTATTCCTATATTTACTATATTTTCATGTGAATCGATCCAATATTTTACAAGTATTTATTACTACAATCAGTACTTGTATACTTACAAGTTTAGCGTGATTATACATTTAATGGATATATTTCAATAGTCCATCAAGGATGATCTCAAGCTTAAGTGTTTCCCTTACACTTTGAAGATTGGTGCAAGATGGTGGCTTTTGAAGGAGCCACCAGCAATCTGCATGGGTTGGAAAGGTAATTTATATTGTCTTCATCAACAATGACACATGAATTGTGACAATGAATCTTCAACTTTAAACACAAAGTTGGAGAGCTATTTCAAGACGCATGGAGGCATTTTATGTCTTTGTTGGGGAAATGTCCACATTATCAAATCCCTCTTGATCTCCAAATTAACCCGTCCTATAATAATTTGAATCGCTCTTGTCAAGTCACTATAAGTAATTGAGTATAAGACTATAGAGAGGAACATAAATGAAGTTTATGCCTTTCGAATTCATGATTTCATTGCCTCAAATCGTCAACGTGAAGGGGAAGACCTTAAAGTCTCGGCACAAACAAGATTTTTATCGCCGATGACTAGACAATCGGTTTTCTGAATTTTAACAAACCATGCAACAAAATCTACAAGCTTCTATTTAAATAGATTTGCATGCCGTTATCAGAGGACCCAAACAAGTGGTGAATGTGGAGAGCGTTACAATCCTGTAGAAAGAATTATCTCAACGTCTTGAAGATGTACATGAATTTTTATGACAATTGGGGGAGAATCAACAAGGCAACAACCGTTAACAAAAGTCGAAGAAAAAAAATTGGAGAGTGAAAGATAACTTCTCAAGTCCTTGTTCTGGGTTTCTAAAGGAAAAATGGCCCGTAAATTACTAATACATATTTGGATTTGAAAACTGTTACCTCTTTTTAGTTTTCCAAAAAAGTGACCTTATCTCAGTAATTGCACCCTAACCTAATTTTAAATACAGCTGCCTAATTACGGCCCGCCTTCTTTCCACCTTCTCTCTCTCTCTCTCGCATTTATTACATTCCTTCTTAGAGAAAAATTCCTCAGTTACTACCATCTCTTAGCTCATAGTCTCAATGGCTCCTATGGTCACCAAAATCATTTGTCCTTCTACCACCGAAGCTACATCTCTCGCTCGTCTTGTCGCTGGAACTGATTCTTGGTCGTTTGTTAGTTGCTCGCTCTAACTGGTAAAAACTCTGGTAAGTTTTCTTCAAACTTCATTTTTTAACGTTTTCTACTTCTATTTTTCGATTTCAATGTCTTTCATATTTAGAATACCTAATGTAGAACTCCTCTATTGTCCGATCAATGCGAATTTGAAAATCAATTTATATTTGAATACTTGTGCGCCTTGGATTTCATTGCATTGCACATTGTTATTTTCAATTTGTTTTGAATCGTTTACTTCTGGTTTTGTTCTTCGAGGAATGAACGTTGTTCAAATGTTGAACATAATTGATTTCAAATTAAGAAACTAGACATTTTGCATGCACTTATATGTACGGATTCGAAAATTAGCCTACGCATACTTCATTACTAGACACTTGTATATATGGATTCTTTGTTCAAGCATTCTCTGTTCAATTTGTTGTTTGCTTTGAAATCTCCATTATTTATTCATGTATTGACTCTAAGTATTCCCTGTTTTCTATCATATCTGGTCTTGGATTGATCCTAGTCTATTGTTACTAGTCACTATGGAGTAGTGACTGTTGTACTCTAAGTATTCTTTGTTATACTTGTTCTCTTGTAATTAATATTGTATTACTACTGGATTAAATGATATTGCTCTTTCATAATTGCATCTTCTCATAATATATTTTTTGCAGCAATGTCGGACATTGACTTTGTTTCCCCACTGCCCTGACCACTCATCCCTTCTTCTGTTCAGCTAAAAGATACGCACTCAACATCCAATTTGGTAAGTTTTTTTATCATTTCCTTTCAAAGAATGATACACTTGCTTGCTATTGACATGTACTATGTACTTTGTTAACTATTTTTTATTTCACTATGTTATCAAACATTGGAAAGATATGTGAGTAAGGTGTTGTAAATCGGGGTGTGAAGAGGAAGCTGAACACTTTCTCTAGGTTGTATGAGTCTATAAATCTAGTTAGGTCTAAGTTACTCTCTCAGCTGTTAGTTCTTTTCAGTCAAACAGCTTTTGGTAAATTCCTAGACTCTAAGGAATTGTTCCGTTTTGTCCTGCCACTTAACTTTCTCCTCGGCAATAATCTAATATGCTGAAATCTGAAGAGAGTGACAAAATGTTCCCAGAGATTTTGTTTTTCAAATTCAGGGTAAACTTTCTACTTTCTCTATATCCCACTTAGCTGCCATCTTTGATTTTAATATTACTGATCACATTCTTTGTTCAAATAATGAACTCACTAATACGAGTCGTATATGGGGAAAATAATTCTCGTCTTATTCTAAATCTATCAGGCGCAATGACATTAAGAAAGTGTTGCAGTCTATACAAATAGGTAAAGAGTCTGATGATGATATTGTTAAGTTGTCACTGTTATACTCCCTCCGTCCCGAAAAGGTTGGCCAAAGTTGACTCTCACGTGGATTAATAAAGTAAAAACTGTATGGTTGAAATTTGTGTAGAGGGGAGAGAATTAATTTTAGCCACATATTCCTTACTTTAAATGGAAATGGCAAATCTTTTTGGGACATCCAAAAAAGGAAATTTGACCAACCTTTTCGGAACGGAGGGAGTATGTCTTAACACACTCCTTTTTTGCTGCTGAAGGTCAAGTTTCTATGAACGGTTTCTTTGTTACTCTTGTTGATAGCTTATAAAGTTTTAATAACTATCCATGGGGTCGTGTTGTATGGGCTTGCATGGATTCTTATTTGAGATCTTGTGCTGCC